CATGTGATTTTTTAAAATATTTCATGAAGAATCATGGATCTTAAAAAACCAGTATCCAGTGATTTCCAATTAAATACTGAATGTCTTTGTTTTTGAAATATCAGGTACCTGTAAAGCAAATGTCTCCCACTTCCTCCCAGGAATACATGGAACGGTGCTCAGTAGGAGCAGGGGGCAGTGATGTTAAAAACTACACAGACTTCTGTTCATGAAGTTGCTAAGACAAGGGGTTAGGGGAGCAGGGCATAGGAGTTTAATTATAAAACATGCTAAATTTGACTCATCAGGGTCATTATGAAAATTTATAACTTTCAAAGGAGAATTTCAGGTCTATCTACTAGCACATGGATTTAGTATTTATGTACTGTCTGTAGAAGTGTATACATGAGGACCTGTCCCCCATAACAATGCTGCGTTGTTGTTACTGGACAAGCCAGTATTTTGTATTAGAAACCTTTTAAAATTGCTGATCCATTGCCTTCTCATTGAGCATCTTTGCCACATCATCAATCTGTATTGTTTAAATAATATTAGAAAATATCTCTCAATGAATATTTAATTACCAAGTACTATCGTTTAAATCTACCAACCAAGAAAAATAAATGCATAGGGAATTATATTTATTACAGTTCTCGAGAAACTACTGAGAATTCCAAAGTTCTGACTAAAGATCACTTTCTGTATGGAATACAGACCCTTATTACAACATTTATGCTAAACATGGAATAAATATGATCTGTATATCTTCAATGGATTCAACAGCTTAAATGATGGTATGAGATAACTTCAAAAAAAAGAGAATAGGTTTCTTTATATTAATACCCTGAAAAAAAGATTAATGAATAATAGTTAACATAGATATGAAAACTCATTTTACTGACAAATTAAGGAAAAACAGAATGTACAGATGATAAATATTCTACCCATATAATAAAAAATCACATTGTTTTGAGATTTCTTATTCCTATTGATATGCCACTTAAAATGATTTAATTTGAAACAAAAATGATGCAATTTAAACACATCTTTAACTGGCATGGGAGTAACACTATTAAACATATATTAAGTTGCCTGTATGCAATTCGCACTTGTGACTTTTCTCTGCCATTCATGAATTATGCAATTATCCCTAACTCATGGAAATGAAAGTGCATTAACTGCCCACTGTCATGTATTGTCTCTTTCTATGTCCTTGTGCACACATTTCCACAGTTCATTATTCATGGATGCATCTATGCAAGTGTAAATGTACACATATAATATGGAAATAGTCACATATGGATAAATAGCAAGTAGATACTTGTTTGTGAAGATATATATATATATATATATATATATATATATATATATATATATATATATATATATATACTTGTTCCAAATAGCAAAATTTAACTAGGAACACTTCTATCCTTGTTATGGATGCCACATGGTAAACAAAACAGATGTCATCATTTTAAAGCAATAGCGGGAGTTCTTCACACATGAAGAGAAGATGTTGGTCTATAAGTCAGAAATCATGCCCTTTTATCTTAAACCACTTTTCCTAGCTTTTTTCCCCATTAAAAAGAAAAATACCCCTTTCAGCATTGATTAATATTTCACTAAAACACAATTCAGAAAATATTGTATCTGTGTTTCTCATCATTACCCTTTTTTCAAGCATGTTGATATAATTATAATGAAAGCAATTCATTCCTAAAAACAATGATTGAAAATAAAAATTGTGGGAGAAATAAAAATTTGGTGTTTTCTTCACTGCCTATTATGGTCATGTGAGTTATTCCAACTTTGAATTAAATACCCTGACAATTTGCTGCTAGTGAGATATATTTTTCAGAGAGGTTCTCTGATTTTAGTCTAGGAAGCACTAGAAAGCGCTCATGTGCAATGACTTGTGATATAGGGAATAGTGAGGACTCTTCCTGATTTACATTAGTTCCAACATAAACAGAATTGGCCCCATTGAATAATTCTTTCTAATTAAATAGAATGACTTCTTATCAAATATATCCAGGTTTTTAATTTGTGCATAATAAAGTTTTTTTAGTGTTGCTTTAGGCAATAAAAGCAGGATTTAATGATTTAAGAAGGAAAAGTAAAATATTTTGTAGCACAGATTTTAATTTTACTGTAGATAATCAAATGCCATGTTCAGAATTTCTTATGAAGGCTATTTTAGCAAGATAACTCATTCAATGTAAACCATACCTACATAAAATTAATTGGAGCATTTTAAATAGAAAAACAATTATTCTAGAATTATCTATGCACAAATTCTTTGCTAAGTATTATTTAAAATTAAAATTGAAATAATGGGGGTTCGTGGAGCGAATTTATAAGTAAGTAAACAACTTTATTATATACTTAGGATATACTGAGGGTCACACCACATGCAATATTTTGATGAAAAATACTTTTCATGATTATATGTGCATTCTGATTTTTTTCAAAATGAAGTAAAAATCAACCATCTTTGTTATGCCTTCATATTTAGAAGAATATTAAATATTTTCAGTCAGTTAAGTTACATTTTGAATTCTGCTGCATTTCTCAATTTACAAGTAAATTTCATGATTCTCAGATATTATAGATATTGATACAACATAAGAGTTCTATAAGGCTTAATTAGAGCATGACTGAAAAGCTAAAAAGAAAAATGTCAGAAAGTACAGCTCTATTCAAAATTGGAAAGACAATAAAAATAAACAGGTGGAAATATTCCACATTTTAAGATGCATTAGTAGGAAATACTGTTCTTTCTAGGAGAAACTATTTAAAAGGTTGTTTCTGCTGAAGTATAACAGAAAGAAAATGTGTTAATCCCTAACACACTATAATTTTTATGCTTGTAAGTTGTAATTTACAGAAATACTTCTGCCAAGGCAATAAATATACCCAAGAACAATTTAGGATAAACATAAGTTTTCATTACTATACAGTATATTCACTGGCACCATAAATAAGGTGTGACCAGCAGAAGGCACTGTTACAATAAATATATACATACAGCTGCTCATTTACAAACTGGTTGGAAATTCTGACAAGTTTTACAAACTTTACACAGCACAAATATTCTTTTCATGTAGACATTAAGTTATAAATTTGCCCTGTAATTGCAAAGAAAAAACTCATTGCATAACTCCTTTTTTGTGTCATTTTTATTTGGATTGCAGCCCATTTACAATTTCATTACCCTCATTTTTAACTTACTTAATTCATAAAAGAATTATGTGGTCACACTTACCATCTTTAACACTGCATTTAAGGAATGTTGCTCTCTTGAGAAAAGACTCAGACTGCTGAAGTTAGACATAGATTCGTATAGAGCCTGCTTCCAAAGCAGCTTCTAGTTTCATTCTTATTAACCTTTCGAGGTTTGATCATAATTTGCTAGAGCATGCAGGCATGGTCTTTTAATGGAACTGCTTAGATGTATGAAAACACCTCTAATTAAATCTCTGTCAAACATACCCCTAACAATGTTGTTTAGTTTGTGTTCGTATACAAAATCTCTTGAATGCCTCTCCAAGTTTACAAAATCCATGTTAAAGGAGCCAGCATTGCAAAAAAATGTTACGGCATATGTTTGGATTTTTGTATTTCAGAGTCCTGACTACTTTATCTGAATTACAGATTTAGAGCTTTGTTATGTGTGATAGTTATGATAATATGATCACTAAAGGCACAGAGACAGGGAGACTCAAATCCCTTTGAAAATCCCTTTCTCTATTTCCTACAGCTGCTGCGGCAGTTTAATATCTGATAGAATGATGAAAAAGAACAGGCCGAACTCCAGTTTTAATAAAAATTTTAACAGGTCTACATATAGTTATGAAAAATGTTATTTGCAATGCCGATTTTTAATAAAATTTTCTTAAACCAAAGAAAAAATCCCCCAGGGGAACCTGATATGAATGTATTTTTCATATGTACTATTTAAGGCTCTTTAAAGGTTATGAAAGTGACTGATAAAATAAGTTCTATTCTATACAACACAAACCTGAATGCACTTGTACTTTTGCATTTTAATCAAATAAATAAGCAAAGCTTTCATTTTGTATATTGGATCAGAAACAAATATTATCATATTGCATAGTCAATTTTCATTGTTAGCAATAAAATTTCATATTATTAAATAATGGCATTTTTAAACAATTCAAAGCACTGCTAACATACACATCAAAGAGTTCTACGATCTACAAATGCATGCATCATGCTAAGAAATACTATATTTTCATAAAACTGAAATTTTGCTCCCTGTGTTTTATGAACTTGAGAAATTACATGGAATGTGAAAACATTTATTTTCACAAGAGAAAAATAAATATGTTAGGTATGATGAATGAAATATAATTTAATCCAAGAACTTCAGAGCTTCTGAAGAGTCTCTATAAAATAGAACATACCAAATGGAAGGTCTCACATGCAGTGGCCTGGGAGAGTTCATCAGGATAACACTAACCTGGGAAACAGGGACAATAAGCTTAGTCCCCAAAGTGTCTCTCTCCACAGAAAATAGAAGCAAGTGTTTATAGGAGAGCAGGCAGAAATTTCAATTTACCTTTCTGACCTGTACCAATTGCAAAACCAGGAGGCTTTTAACTACCAAAATGCTGAGCACAAACAAGGGGTTCACTTTTAATCTTTAAACTGCATGGACTGGCATTATCACCAGCAAAGCCCTGGTGTTCTACGCAAGCACTGATTGTCCAGCAACACTGTCCTTGTTATTATTTCTGAAACCTTTTAAGTTCTAAGGAAGACTTTTTAATACCGTACATCATGTAAAATATATTAACATTTATTAAAAGAACTTGATAGACTTTTAGAATTAAAACTAGCTACACTAATACTAGATAACCATTCTATTCTTTACAGAGGGGCGGGCAAACTGGAACTATGAAGCACAGTCTTTATTTTATCCCTAAATAAATATTCACTTTTGAAAACATTAAATGTATTATGCAATGAAATGAGGAAAGTAAAGCATAGCCCACCTCATTACTTTCTCTGAGAATTGCAAGGTTGGAATATTGAGCCATCTTCTAAGCCTTGTGGTCCTCCACGATTCCTAACACAGAATTGACAGCAGTTAGTTCATACCATATTTATAATCCCACTATGTAACATTTCTAAAAAGCTGGATTTACATTTCTAGAACCAAATCAAATTTGTTTATCTGTTTACTTGATATTTTCCTGTATTTTTAGTTGAAGAACTTTTTTTTAATGGGGTGAGGTGGGGGTTAGTGACCTTAATCAGGGGATTTGAAAAAAAAATTGGTGGAATCAGGGTAACAAGAATGAATGAAAGAATAATTTATTGCTGTGACCATTTCCCTCCTTGATTTTTGTATTGGGATTACAGTGGATTATCCCCAATCAAATACTATTTATCAGATCCTTATAGATAACCATAATAATAACAAGAATAGGAGAGTAACTTTCTGAGATCATATCTGAAATGTAAATGTAAGCACTTGATCACAAAAGCTATGAGTAGACAAAAAATATGAGAAAAAAACACAGATCACTAAAATAAAGCTTTGACATTAAGTACATCTTTAATTTTCTACATCAAGAATTTTTATGCCATTTTAAGAAGGATATGTGATGTTAAATAAGAGAGCTTTCAAATTATAAAAAAAATTACAAGATGCTAGTTTAAATGTTGATTAAAGGAATTTCTCATTTTAAAATATTATAATAATTTATAAAATAAAAATTGAGGATTATTCCATTTTTCCAAAAATATTTCACAAGCTATACAGTGTTCTTAGAAAATAAGAAAGCTTATTTTAAAGTGCATGTTCAAGCCTTTAATGAAAGTACTCATTTAAAAAAAAAAAATTAACACATACAGAGCCATCTGGCCACATCAAATGACATAGATCTTTTGTGTATCAAAATACCTATTCTAAAACAAATTGACATATTTTTATTCACATAAAATAAGACATTTACTTAAACATTAATAAGATTTATTTACTCTTGAAGGGCAAGGAAATACAGGAAATCCTCCCACCCTCCAAAAACTTCAAACACAGATAAATTATTAATTTTAACTGGAAACCATATAGAATTAATGTAACACTTATATTTAATGAGTAATTTAGCATTTTAACAAAATTCAGCAATATTCTCCTCCAAATTTTACTACAGTGTTTTGCCAGTGTGTTTGGGTTTTCAGTTTCACTCAGTCCTTAAATAAAACTCTTTATGTTTTAAAGAAATAAAGGGTGGTCTCTTCCTTCATGAATTTTGTATATAATAATTTTAATTTCTAATTTTATCTATATATCTAAAGTATTTAAGAATGCAATATTGGGGGAGGGGTGTTATAACTACCTGAAAAGTTTAGGTTGCTATTTTTATTACCAAGAAATAAATAAAATAGTAAATGTTATCTAAAATTATTCTATTGCTTAACTTTCATAGTTTCCATACAAACCACTGGAGGCATTTCTAAGCCAAAGTGACCCTAACCATTGGTCTTCACAAAGCTTTTGCAAGCCTGACTGGAGATTTTTTTTTTTAATTGATGGTGGAATAAATCACATTGAATACATGCATTCAGGAACCAACTACACAATATTTTTAAAGATAAACATATTTATATAAAGAGATGAGGGAGAAAATTCCTGAAAAAATACCTCTTTTATTCACTCAGGAATATAGAGTATTATCCATTTGAATATATCTTCATAACAAATTATGGTTATAAAAATTACTATAAATTATTGCACATTAAGTAGTTTCCAGTTTTTTATTTTCTCACTGGCCTTGATTTTTACTATCCTAAGGGTACCATACTATCATTAATTATATACTCTTATTTCATCAACTGTTTTTCAACCTTGTAGAATTTTCTCCAAGATTTTCAAACACCAAGAGCATCTGAGAGTCAATCTCTTTTTGTTGTTTTCATAATTTAAAATTATACCACCAGACAGCCTTTCTTTAAGAAAGCCAGGAAACTGGGAAAACAGATAAATTAGGATGTGATTATTCACATCACAAAGGAATTCACAGATGGCTTCATGTAAATAGGGAGCTCCCTATTTAAGTGTTTGTTTACAGATCATTAGCTACTTGACAAAGAGGCTACAGGGGCAGAAAAACTTAGAGCTCAAGTGTTGGGAGACAGAGCCAATTGGAGATCAATCAGAAATGGAGACGCCAAAGCATTCATGGAAGCAGCATGTGAATCAGAAAATGTGATTTCCTTCATATTCCTCTGTGTATGTGTGTGTGTGTGTGTGTGTGTGTGTGTGTGTGTGTGTGTATGAGAGATAAAAGAGAAAGAGAATATGGCTATATGTGTAGATGTAAAATGTATGGATACATATACACACAGAGACACACCCTAAAGATACCTATTTTTAATGTAGAGTAAGACACTGAACAAACTAGCTGGATTTCCTGAGTTTATTTTGGAGATTTAAAAATGATTCACAGATTTTTAAATGTATATTGTTTTAAAGTGCATCCACTCATACAATATATGAAATGTCTACCTTTAAGCTTTATAGTCTAATAATTGTCAGAAACTTCTTACTTTTCTTATACAAATTATTTGTATTCTTAGCACAACAAATTTACTAAATTTTACTGTGTACAAGGCATTTTGCAAAATGCTAAAGAAAAACAAAGCATAAGTCATGACAGAGAAAAAATATAATTTTAAGTGTTGCTTTCTAAAACGTGGGCATTAATGTTTACAGATTTGCTATTCGAAAATATTAAATTATAATGGATTACTATACAAAACTAATACCTTTGTTTTGATTGTGAAGATCATAGATCTGAGTCTCAAACCAGCTAGATATATCCTTGACTTGAGGTAAGTTTTGTCTCCAATAGATGTTCCCTCTCTTATTAAATTTTGAAGGAAATTTTTAAAATGCATATGGGGCAAGAGGAATAAAGATGAAAACATACAAATTCCTGTTAACTACCCTCCTGCTTTATTTTCAAGGCAAGTGTAATCTTTCAGTTATTAACTTTTAATGACCATCTGCCTCTTGAATATTGCCAAATAAAAGTTGAAACTTTTTGCTGAAAAATGAATGACAAGTAATTTCAAAGTTCTGGTTCTCTTAGACTTCTTTAATATTAAAAAAAAAGTTTTCAGATGTGAAAATTTTTGCAGAGATAGAGACTTGTTTGCATTATTTGGCTTGCTTAACATGCTCTGTCTCACTTCAATGCAATTCCAGAAGCATGTATTGATGGCTTCCTGCATTCTAATACTGGCTCGGCAGTTGGGCAATAAACTGTATACACAGACTGTGCTTTCCAAGAGTTTACCCATGTTATCTCATATTTCACTCTATATGATAATTAGTCATTTTTAAAATGATGTCCTGATAACAAACTTAGAAACCTTGTTGGATTTCTGAAATAAGTCCAAAAATTTTTAATGCTTTTGTTTATAATAAACTTTGATCTTAACACCCATGTTTTATATAAGGCTCTTAAACCAGTCTGGATAAACTAGAATAAAGAGAAATGCTAATGCACCATTAATTTTAAACTACATTAAATCAATTTTCCACCCACATTTTTAAAATAAATTCAAATTGCTAAAGTTTCTTATTTAGAACACAAAATTACATAGAGCACGGAAGAAAGTCACCCCTTCTTTCAAGTGAGTGACTGGACTTTTAAAAATTGCTTTGAAGTCTAACTTGTGATACTTCATTTGGATTTGGGGAGGGAGGGTTAAAGAATAAAGCAAAGTTGTACAGAAAGAAGGAAAAGTGTAAAAGGGAGAAAAGGAAAACAAGTTTCTTATTACAGCTAAATCATTTCAGGAAAAAAAAAAAGAGAGAGAGAGATGGATTTGGCAGTAACCACTAAGTCAAAGTATGATACACTAGAAAGACAATATAAGACAAACACATGTATTAAAGGTGGTACACTTCAAAGACAGAAAGCAATTCATAACATTCTAAATCTTTCTTACCACTCTTTTGGAATAGTTTCCTTCATTTCAACGTCATTTCATCCTGACATTCCATCACAAGCCAGGCATTCCATACAAGTAACAGTGTGTGGCACTAAATTCACAATAAGTATGATATATTTAAATACAAAAGAAAATCATAAACTCCACAAATCATGTAAAAATGTAAACCTTGGACATTTTATTTAAGCTTCACAATAATAAATCTACATTTTAGGTACAAAAATTGACTGTCATGACCCCTAAATATATTTACTTCTTATACTATTACCTAGGAATTCACATGCAAAGCACGGTTATATCCTGAATATTTGGGAAGTGCTTAAATTAGGATAACAAACATAATTTTTTCAATGTGATACGTTAATGGTCACATAAGGATTTGCTTTTTAAAGAGATAAGTAACTTGCCTGGTTAGATTGCGTTTCACTGAGATAAAAATAAATAGTTTAAGGGCTCTTTTTTAAAAATAATAATAATAAGCCACAAATTAGTCAGACACAAACTATTTTGGCTTGCTTTTTTAATTTTCTGTTTTAGTATAAATTTGCAAGGACTGTTTTATACAATATAGCCTGCTAGAATGCTCACAACTGACACTGAAAGTTCCTGGGTCTTTCAAGAGTTTTATTCCTAGGAATACTGTGAAGTGGTACATGTACCTGAGAAAAATTTCCAGGACCTACAAGTTATCCTATCCAAGACTGCAAAAGCTGGGGATTATGGCTATCATTTCAAAAACACCGAATAACTCGGTAACGAAATTTATTCTTTGGTATATTGGCAAAGAAATTTTTTAAATGAGGACCCCTGAAGATACAAAAATTTGGTTTAGTAATGTGAATTTTTAAAAATAGCCTCAGTATTAACTAGTGCCATTTAAACGAGAAATTTAAAATCGATGATTTTTTAAAAAGATTGACTATTAAAAATATAATTTTGAATTGAAATATTTTTCCTTAAAAGGTAGAAAAATACTTAAGTAAATTTTTAAACAGTTTTTAAATAAACATTACATTTTAAATGAAAATTTACATTTTTTCAGGAAAACGATTTCAAACAGCCCTGTTTGCATTAACTTCTTTATCAAATTGAACATAGTAACTCATATTATGAAGTCTATTACTTTCTACCTGTTTCTAGCTAAAAACCAACTTCAAAAAGTGATAACACATCCTTTAATAACAGAGGAAAGCACTTGCTGGTTCTGTGCTATCAGAACTGTTGGATTTTGTTCTGAACCATGCTGTGTGGTGTTTAAGGTCCCTGTGTGTCTCTGAATTGGTGACAAAAGTGGTGAGAAACTGAGGCATCTGCAACAATTGTGATCAACCATATGATAAGTTTTTCTAAAGAACACTTTATAATTTTATTCTTAAAAATATGTATGCCTTGTATTTGTCCAATCAGAACAAAAAAATGGAGAAAAATATATTTTGCATAAGAAAAAATGGTGGCATTATTTGCCTTTTAATCAATACACCAAGCATCAGATGAACACTCATATTTATTTTGAAGGAAACCAAAAGAAAAAATGATTATTTTCATTGACTGAAGAAATTTTTACTTAGAAAATCTTTTAGAGGGATGCTATTCATGATATAAAGTTAGATTTCTATCATATCAAACATTTTTGTGATTGTGATAATTTTTTCTCCAGTTTAGTTATTGTATCACTAGTTTTTTAACCCAGCTATGTACACATTTCCTTTAAGTGTTTTTTTTTAATTGATTAAAAAGTATTTATATAATATGGTCACAATTTGATCCTTTTCTAATAATATTACCTGGTTTTATTCCCATATACCTAGTACTTTAATGAAACTAGTGTCATGAAGGTTTTGAATATTGATTTTGGCTCTTTCTTAAGAAAATATCAACTACAAAACGTAAATAACTGTTCTATATCTGAAAAAAATTTTGGCCTTAATGAATAGTTAAGGACACACTGATGTCAAATCATTCAATATTTAAAGAGAAGTTAGCAAAATAATAATTTAGGGTTAAAAATGGCTGGAATGGAAATGTCTAAATAATTTATTTAAAATTATTACAATTCTGTTTATATTTAAAGTGTCACTTCTGAGAAACCTTCAAAAAATAACACACAATTGTGGAGAGATGGTTGGTGGGTGAGCCAATTCAGGATCAAATCACAGTAACAACAATATTCAATGCCACTGAGCTTGGTTATGATATGTCTGTCTCCTCTTTTTCTGTGTACGAGGATGTGGAAAGTGGTAGCTACAACAAGCCCTGTAACACTATCTATCAACAGGAGGCAGAAACATTCCAATTGAAGCAGAATTAAAAGATGAGGTAGATGGATTAAATATCGAGATTAGACAGAAGGATGGATGGATGGATGGATGGATGGAGATGGATAGATTTAGACAGATAAATACATTTAAAGTTCTTTAATATTTAAAGTCCTGTTGTCGTTCTCTTAATTTTTTTTTTCTTTCTTTTCCCATAGAACCATCTCTTCCTTCATCATGCCTGAGTTTTGGTGATAAGGTAAAAGAAGACAATGGGCCGGGCAGAGAGAGATGTCTAAAGCAATGGATTACTGCATAGCAGTGGAAAGCAAAGGAAGAGAGATCTGTATTTTTGTAAAGGATCTCCAAGAGATCTATACCACAATTAAGGCTTCATCTGTCATGAATTGGTGCTTCATAAAATTTTCACTTTTTGCCTTGGTATCACAGGTGAGAGGATTCGCTCACCATATTTCTTTGTTCTGTCACCTGTCTCAGCGCTAAAGAGTTATATAACTATACTCGGGTTATAAATAGCCTATCAAAATGAATCTGCAAAATCAGAAAAATCACCTTAAAAGTTTTAGAAATGACTATTTTTTAATGCCAACTCTCATTTTATATGGAGAAAATCTTGAAATGCATTGTGTATTGATAATGGATACTAATACACACTTCACCTTGTGTAGGTTGTCTTTTTCCACAGACCTACTGAAGGCCTTGAGAAGGCCATGCTGCCATCACACAAGGGCCCATTAACTGATCTTATAATTTCACTTTATATTAGCAAGTTTTTTCCTCAAAATCATCACCATGATTCAAAACTGTATATAGCCTTGGGGAAATGTCTATAGAGACAGGCTTACAACAAATACCCTTAAATATTTTATTCCAATTTTTAAGAAAGTACAGCAATAAGAAAGGAAAACATCAGCAAGTTATAACATTCTTGTTTTTATATAAATGAATCAATTAGAACTAAAAGTCAACAGGCAAATTACGATGCCAAGAGATTCTCCTAAGAAGTTTATGAGACACAAAATCTCTCAGCTTTACTTTGTTAAATACATAAACACTGGATTACTGTGAAGGGAAAAAGTGCTATGAGAAATTATGGTTAGTCATAGAAAATGATGAAATATTTACACAAATCATATCCTCATTTTGTGCATGTTTTTATTGTAAGATGATAATTCCTTTGCCAGTTTTTTCTGAACATTTAAGATTAAGAAATTCTTGGATTGACTGATAAGTATTTTTTTGCATAGAAATATGCAAAGTGATTAGAATAGTAGAAATTATTTGTTTATACCCACTAAAAAGTGAGATTAATTACTTTTTATTTAATTACCAAAATGCATGGTTATACACATCACCAAATATCTACTGATTTTAGATATAATAATTTAAATTATACTATATTCTAGTTTATATTTTATGTACATATGTCTAAACCATGACACATTAAAATGAGTATCAGGCATTCATCTTGGGGTAGACGACAACAAACTTATTGAAAATACTTATTATGTATATTATCTATCCTTCTACACATAAGAGATTACATTAGAGATACATAACTTGGAGTATTTGGTAAGTGATAATGTGTCCCAAGAGGCCCTCTTTTCCTTTGCCTCTCTATCCTTCCTAAAGAAAATATTCAGGACTTACAAATAATATATTTAATGTTTTATACTATATTAGAAGTTTGTTTTAGCAAGGTATTTCTAATAATTGATAATACAGTATTAATAAGATGCAAAAGTAAAAATACATACATCACATACACTTGTAGAACTAATAGTAGATACAAAATTATGTGCTTAAACATCTTAGCCTATTTTATTTCATATAGCATGATAGCATTATATGTTTACATACTTTCTTACTCCAGAGATTCAGAGACACTACGAATTAGTACCAATTTGTCCATTGAAATGGAACTATAGAGACTTCTCCATCCTTGGTTAGCCAAAAGGTTGTAGCCATAATCATCAATATGCCCATTATAAAGAGAAAATAATTTATATTTTAAAAATCTTTAAAAAATGATGTTTCCCATATTCCATTAATAGTGTGCTTAACATCCATTTCAGACATTTTTAATTGTCATATGTAACATTTTTTCACTATAAAAACACTTATTAAAGTGCTCAAGCATTCACTACAAATGAGAGATTTTATGCAAGATTTTCCTTTAAAAAATATCCATGTTTGGGGCTGGGGATGTGGCTCAAGCGGTAGCGCGCTCGCCTGGCATGTGTGCGGCCTGGGTTCAATCCTCAGCACCACATTCAAACAAAGATGTCTGCCCAAATACTAAAAAATAAATATTAAAAAAATTCTCTCTCTCTCTCTCTCTCTCTCTCTCTCTCTCTTTAAAAAAAAATATCCATGTCTGTCTTTGGTGATGATTTTTTTCTGGTTCTGTCTCACAGCACCATTAAACCTGCTCACCTCATTTATTGACAAAAGTCACCATTTGAACCCCACTTTTCATCTTAAAGATCTTTACAAAACTTAATGAAGTCCAGTGGTATTTCTAGGAAAGAAAATTATATACTTGAGTAATATCCATATGAAGAAGAGGAGTTCTGTACCCTTTAAACCAAACTGCTGGACCCCGAGGTTCTTCACATTTGGCCCCCTATAAACTGGATTCTATCTAACAACTGAAGGAGTCACAGAGATCATCTACTTCAACCTTCCTCGTATTTTCCAAACCAAAAAAAATGAGAGTTTAAAAGATAAATGACTAACACAAAATAAGACAATGAGTTTGTAACAAACCTAAACTGATTTGCTAACACTAAAATATTGCTAATGTTAATTGAAC